CATCAATTATTACTAAGCAGTATAGTGGATTAATTATTGAAATGGAAAGACTATTATTGATTTGGTTAGAAGATTAAAGTAAGTATAACATTCCTATTAGCCTAGGAATTCAAAGAAAGAGCACAATAGTTTCTGTATCTTACTATTTCAGTACAGGAGTAGTATTGCACTATACTGTTACCACATAGGCATTATAGTATTATTATCATTAGTGTATACGCACTGTTTATCAGGGATCCAAGTTACATATAAACCCAACCTAAAGATGTTCTCAGGAATGTATCACATCCACAACTCGGGAACTGCTTGTACTTGGATATTATTCAGCAGTAAAAATGAATGAAATACTGATACATGCTATAATGTGGAAGAACCTTGAAAACATTATGTAAAGTAAAAGAAGCCAGACACAAAGACTACATATTTTATGATTCCATTTGCATGGAAGATCCAGAACAGACCAAATCTATATAGAGGAAAAGTATATTAGTAGTTGCTTAGGGCTGGGAGTGAGATGAGTAATGGGGATTAACTGCTAATGGATGTGAAATTTCTTTTGAGGTTGAGGAAATATTCTAAAATTAGGTCGTGATAGCACAGTTCTTTTAATATATCAGCTTCTGTTGAACTGTAAACTTTAAATGGGTATATGTTATGATATGTGACATAGAGCTGTTTTTAAAACCCATCTATTTCATAGTGGTCAGTAAAATGATGTGTAAAACCAATTTTTCAATTGTACTTCATGAATAGTTTTTGCTTTACAGAGATGTGTTTGGGGTTGATAGGGAAACTAAAGTGGCAGGGTTCCAGGTGCCCTGAGGCCTCCCTTAAACTTCTAAATAGATTGTTACAGAATTTTGTTTGGAAAATGAATTGTAATGCTTTTTAAAATATTGGGAAATTGATATTTAAAGCATAAACCACCATTTATAAGAAGTTGGCCTACCATAAAATGTAATTAAAAGACCAGTTTATTAATTCAACTAATGTTTATTGAGCATCTCTTATGTGCTTTGCATTTTTCTAATCACTAGTAATACAGAATTAAGCACAATAACGCTTTACCAGAAAAAAAAAGTTTTCATGCTTATGGAACTTTCATGGTAAGGCAGTGGGCTGTCAATAAACAAATAAAATATATAAAATATCAAGTAGTGACAGAACTCCTGATGTTTCATTTGATTCTTTTTCTATATGGCAAGCCTCTTTATTAAAATAATTTTCTTTAAAAAATATAGGGTGTGTGTATTTGATCAGAATAAAGTAGAAATTTTCCTTTTTTATTAGTGTATAACCTATATATTTTGCTTTCTTAGCTAAACCTCTTTATGTTGTTTTTCTAGTCCTTGTGTTTACAGTACTTCTCTATAATTTATTGTTGTCTGTCTTCAAATAATACTGTATCTCTTTATGTAAAAGATAACATACTTAAAATAGTATATAGTTGATGCTTGAACAAGATGAGCTTGAAACACACCGGACCACTTATATGTTGATTTTTTTTCCAATGAATACAGTCAGCCCTCTATGTCCACAAGTTCCACAGATGAAACAAAACTCAGATAAAAAATAGCAGTATTTGTTGGATGTGAAACTCACAATGCAGAGCTTTTCATATACGCAGGTTCCACAGGGCAACTATGGGATTTTAGTATGGACAGATTTTGATATCCCTGGTGGTCCTGAAATCAGCCCTTATGAATACCAAAGGATAACTGTGCTGCTATTTTTTCCTTCTTGTTCCTTTCACTGTTAATACACTTTGTATGTATATATGTTACAAGCTCTACAATGCATTTTTTTGTTTTTTAAGACAGTCTTGCTCTGTTGACCAGGCATAGAGTTCATACAGTGCAGTGGCATCAACCTAGCTCACACCAACGTCAAACTCCTGGGCTCAGGCCATTCTTCTGCCGGAGCCTTCAGAGTAGCTTGGGCTACAGGCACGCACCACAATGCTTGGGTAATTCTTTTCTATTTTTAGTAGAGATAGGGTCTCCCTCTTGCTCATGCTGGTCTCAAACTCCTGAGCTCAAGCAGTTCTCCGGCGTCAGCCTCTCAGAGTGCTAGGATTACAGGTGTGAGCCATCGCATCGGGCCTAAAATACATTTTTATTTTTGCTTTTAACTACCAGTTTTTTTTTAAAAAAAATAAGTTTAAAATAAGTGTAAATTTAATTTATATTTACCCACATTTACCATTTATGGTGTTCTTTTTGTAGCTGCAGGTTTTCATCTGATAACATTTTCCTTTTGCCTGAAGAACTTTTAGCTTTTCTTGCAGTTCAAGTCTTATAACAAATTCTGTCAGCTATTGTTTGTTTGAAAAAAAAAATTGATTCCATTTTTGAATGACGTTTTTATTGTATATAGTATTCCAAGGTGACAATTTTATTTTTTTTCCTTGACCTTTAAACTTGTTCTTCCATTGTCTTGTGGTTTGTATTGTTTCTGATGAAAAGTCTATTCCTTGTCTATGATTTATGTATTTTTCTTCTGGTTGCTTTGTAAGAATTTATCACTAGTTTCCAGGAATTTTATTATCATGTACCTCAGTATGTTCTCTTTATTTTTATTCTGATGTTTGTTGACCTTTTTTTAAATATATGGTTTTATATTTTTAACAAATACCTGAATTTTAAACATTGTATCTTCAAATACTTCACCCTCTTCCAGCACTCCAGTGACGTACATGTTATGTTGCTTGATGTTTCCCAGTTTACTGAGACTCTGTTCACTTGCAGTATTTTTCCTCCCCACAGCCCCTTTTCCACACTTCAGTGTGTGTAGTTTCTACTGCATTGTTTTCACATTCACTGATCTTTTCTTCTCCTGTGTTTATTTGCTTTTAAATACATCCAAGGACTGCTTCAGTTCAGGTGTGTCTTTTTTTCTTTTACTCTAGATGTTTGTTTGATTTTTCCGTATTTTTGTATAAATTCATTAGACTCTTTGTTTTTCTTTAAATCTTAAACATGTATATATTTATTTGAGTTCCATGTTTATTCTATCATCTATCAGACAATATAAATAGGCACAAAGATGCTGCACCTATTTATATTGTTACATTTATCATTGCTACACCTATTTATATTGTCTGATTTTTCTCCTGGTTAAGGGCTGCATATTCCTTTAAAAAGTATCTTCATTTCTTACCATAAGCTACACTACATGTGTATCAACCTGATCTATTCAAGTCTGAGTTTTGTATTTGGCGAGTGAACAGTATTATTGTTGGGTTTGTTTAACCCTAATGCTAGTGTGTGGTGTTACAGGATTTCTACTGAATGCCCCAGGTGTTCACTGAAGTTCCAGTGGGACTCTGACGTCTTCCAACCCTGTGGGCTCCAGTAGTTGTTCATTGCACTTCTCTCCAGTGGTTGCTCTTGTTATTTGTGTTGTCTGTTAAAATCTCACCCTACACACGTGCAGCTTAGTATTCAGACAAAAAGCCAGCAGGACCCATATGTAGACTTCTAAACTTCTCTATAGATCTCCTTTCTTTTTAGTATTTTGCCCACAAATTCCTCTGATCTGCGTCTTCAGCTAACAAGTGTGTGCTTTTGGGCACCCACTCACCATCATTTATTAGATAATGGTCCAATAAATGCCTCAGACATCACAGTCTAGTGACAGAAAACAGTTGTTTCCTATACTTTCTGTTTTCCCGCTGTTTACTGCAGGAAGGCTGATCCAGTCTCCATGATGGCTGGCAGTCCCCATCTATTATTACTACTTGGTTTTCTTTTTGTTTGTTTTCTTCGTTAATGCAGAGACTTTCTCGTCTTTGCTATATTCTCATATCTAGAAAAAGCCTGACACATAGTAAGTGCTTAATAAATATTTGCTGAATGTTTTATTCAATGTACAATCTCTTCCTTTTTCTTTGTATGTTTAATTTTTCCTTCAGTGCTGACTCCTTTCAGTTAGCATTTAAATATGCTTTAATCTCTCTTTGTCTTATTTGCCATATGTGGACCTGCTGTTATTCTCAACCTACTCCATCCTTTGATCCAGCATTCACTTTGCAGTAGCATTCGTCAAGTTATTCTTGGCTCCCCCATTGCTTATATCAGTGGACCTGACTTAGTCCTAATCTCCCTTGATTCCTGGTGGCATTTGGCAGTGTTCACTATCCTGAAATTCTCTTTCCCCCTGACTTTCTTGACACCATAAGTTCTACTTTTCTTTTTTCCCTTCTGGTTGTACCTTTTTTGTCTGTCTTCCTTGTCCATTGCCAGGTGTTAAAAGTTGGTGATACTTGAGGTGTTGTCTATGTTCCTTGTCTTTTCTAATTCTACATACTGTTTGTTAGCAATCTTACATACTTCCAAGACTTGAATGACCGTCCAGAAGTTGTTTTCCAAGTATTTTTTTTTCCTGTTCAACTTCTCTTCTGAGCCTGAGATTCATGTGGACAGCCAGCTGTTGACTTCCCTATCCCTCAGACTCTCAAACTCAGTATGCCTGCAATTGAACTAATCATTACTCGTATCCCTCTGATATCATCATTCTTTGTGGGATTTTTGTTTTTGAAGGTGGGGTCTTACTCTGTTGCCCAGGCTAGAGTGGCATGATTATAGCTCACTGCAGCCTCAGGTTCCTTAGCTCAAGTGATCCTTCCCCCATAGCCTCCTAAGTAGCTAGGGCTACAGGTAGACACCACCATGCCTGGCTATGACGACATCATCCTTGAGATTGTATCTTACCTTTCTGTAATTCCAAGGTCCTTTCCTGATTCTCTGAATTGTTCTGCACTTTTTTCTATCTTAACACCTATAGCCCTTGTATTGAAATTGCCTGTAGTGCATCGACATTGCCATTGCCCCCAACTTGCTTGTTTCCCTAAATTTGAAGTTCTTTGATGTCAGGACTGGTTGCTTTCAGTAGGTACTTGATAAAAATTTATGGATGAACACATGAAGGAATAAATGAGATTCATAGGAAGTGTTAGGGTAGCATGGGATGAGAAAGAATTCTCGACATAAAGATTAGGATAGATTTAAAGCAAAACGTTTACTTTCCAAGGGATAAAGGGCACGGCACAAAAGAAAGAAGTAGTGCTAGTCCCGAGATTGAGGGGTGTAGGGGGGCTGGTTATTGGGATAAAGGGAAAAGAAAAAGTGCTGCTGGGAGCTGATAATGGGGCAGCTGTGAGGGGTGTGTGTGTCCTCTTCTTTCTGCCAGGCTGGCTTTATCTTAGTCCTTGGAATGTGGTCTGGCAGGAACTGGGTGGAGGTCATTCTTCTGTCTGCTCAGTTTTTTAAAATGCTGTAAAAACAAACTGTTAAAGGCAGCAAAGTTAAGCCAGAAGTGGTTAATCAAACAAAGGGGTGATAGTGTGCTGTGATCTTTTTCTCTTTTTTCTTTCTGTTACTTTATTTTTTTCTCTGTTAGATAGTTTATTACCAAGGCTGTTCTTTCAGGAAGTGTTTCTTTTATTGATGTAAAAGATGTTTATTCATCTGCTCTTAAAGAATAAATACATCTGCACTGTTTCAGTAGATGGAATGTTCTAGTAATTGCTCTCTCAGTGATAGCAGTTGCTAGCAGGCAGGGAACAGTGATGAACTCAGCATTTTATGGCAGCCTAATTAGTGAGGGTTGGTTGTGTGTGTGCTCACATGCTTTTGTGATAGTTACAGACACAGGTAAGTCCATCCATCTTAAAGAATCAGAGTAAAAAGTGAGATTATGTAGTGTTAGACAGTGGAGTTTTGCCCATTGACATGACCCCCCAGGATACTAACCCTGATACAGGATGCTTGGGAGGGTCCTTGGGCTTTCCTGTTCTATTGTTTTTAATGGAAAAGAAACCAAATTCTTTAAAATAATTTTAAAGAGATTTATTCTGAGCCAAATTTGAGGACAGTGACCCAGAACCATGCCCAAGTAGCCTTGAGCACGTGGACTCTCTGTGGTTGGGTTACAGTTTGGTTTTATACATTGCAGGGAGACGGGGGTTGCAGGTAAAGTCACAAATCAATACATGGAAGGCATACATTGTTTTGGCCTGAAAAGGTGGGCCATCCCAAAGCAGGGGGCTTACAGGTTATATAAGATACTTTGACTTTCAATTGGTTAAAGACCTGAAGCTTTGTATAAAGCCTTGGAATGTTTTAAGATAAGGAGCTGTTAACTGGAGATAAACCACCAGACATATGTGTTGTGTAAATTGAGGGACCTGAAGGTTTGTCTTGCATACCCTTAGGCCTGTTCATGGATTACAAAGGATGTCTTCAAGAAGGGGGAAAGAGGCAAGGAGCCATGATAAGGCATGTCTTACCTCTCTCCTTGTGGTAGGCAATTTAGTTTTAGGATATCCCCTTGGCCAAGAGGGTGTCCATTCAGCCTGTGCTGGGGTGGAGGTTGGGGGAGAACCGTTAAGATTTTATTTTAGTTCACACTGTATTTCTAATATTAGTGACATGAGCTTCTCAGGCTGCTTCTGGAGTCTGGGCTTTGAATCCCACATCTGCTGACATGTTACAAATCTCAGCAAATGTCTTTACTTTTCTGTGTTTGTTTCCTTGCGTGTAAAATGGGGATAATGATAACACACACCTCCTAAGAGATAATGTTAGTAAAGCCCTTGAAGGGTGTAAATGCTGTTTATAGGTTTGTTAAATGCTTACAACCACAATGTTGGGGGCTATTCTCTCACCTCCATTTTACAAAATTAGGTCCAAACAGCTGAGTGTTACTGGTGTTCCTCAAGTAGCAGAGCTGGTCTGTCCATCTCCAGGCCCCTTTCCCCAGACCATGCCTACCTGCCTCTTCACTCACCACTTGACTCTCAGGTTAACATCACAGGGCAGGGTCACATGGTAGCTTCCAGACCATGGGTGTTTTCTACCATTGGCTCTGTGTGGGATATCTATAAGAAAAGCAATATGGCAGTCAGAGAGAGCCCTCTAAGACACAGAAGATGATTATTTAGAGCCTAAATTTTAGAGAATAGAATAATTAGATCAGAGATTCTCAATTCAGGCTGCACAATAGAATCTTCTAGTAGGATTTTTAAAAATATAGATGCCCTGGGCCTCACCCCAGATTAATTAAATCAGGATCTCTGGTAGGTAGGGGTCAAGTACTTCTCCAAACTCCTCAGGTGGTTCAAATATGCAGCCGTGCTTGACAGCGACTGACACATCGCTGGGATGGGGCTCAATATTATCTTGGTCCTCCAGGTTTTCCTAAGAGACAACCTTATCAAATGAGTAGATCCTAACAGTGTTTTCTCAGTGCTCAGACCAGGGGATTATTTTTTTACTCCAGCTTTAATCCAGTACACTATGGATTAATCCAATATGGTGAGGCAAGAGCATTGTAAGAAGTGAAGCAGCCAGGATGTCTCAAGGAGTTTAAAATTTCAAAAGAAAGCAATATCTGAATACTGATATTATACTGCCACTCATTTGCTAAAAAGCTCTGCCGTAATAGGTGTTACTGAATAATGTGGCTGTTTGAGGTGTTTACTTTAGTTATGTTTGCTGACCATGCAGTGCTGGGTTGTTTGCATCATGTGACATTCTTTCAACGGGCTGTTGACATTGATTCTTGTTACTCAGTTTTTTTTCTTTTAGAGATAGGATCTCTTTCTGTTGCCCAGGCTGGTATGCAGTGGCCTGATCATAACTCACTGCTGCCTTGAAATCTTGAGCTAAAGCAGTCCTCCCACCTCAGCTAGTACTATAGGTGTATGCTATCACACTTGGCTAATTTTTTAAAAATTTTTGTAAAGATGGGGGTTTTGCTGTATTGTCTTGGCTGGTCTGGAATTTCTGGCTCAAGTGATCTTCCTGCCTTAGCTTCTGATAGTACTGGGATTATAGGTGTGAGCCACTGTGTCCAGCCTTTTTTTTTTTTTTTTTTTTTTAAAGCATGACATTTTATGATAGGTACACTAGAAACCCAGATATCACCACTGTACAATTCATCCCATGTAACCGAAAACCACCTCTACCCCTAAATCTATCAAAATATAAATTTAAGAAACGAATAAACATGATAGATGGAGGATTAAAAGAAGGCGGCTGATGAGAGGCTAGTTTGGAAAACAAATGTTTCTTTTCATACATTCTTTTCAGGTATACCAGTGCATGTTTTTCTTCACAATGAAAATAATTTCCTAATAAATGATAAAGACTTTTAGGAGTATAGGCATTAAGTGTCATTGGTCTTAAAAGAGACAAATTTAACATTTTAAGATAGTTTTAGGTAGATTTCCCATGATACGCGTGTATATTTTGTGTTGTGTAAATGTACTACTTTTTCCCATTCATTCAACACACATTTATTCAGCATGTACAACATGCCAGTTAAACTCTAGATGCCTGGGAAACATCAGTGAATAAAACGGACAAAATTTCCTGCCCTCATGAGCTTTTGTTTAGTGGTGGTAAGGATATGGGGGAGACAGGATAAATAATAAACATAACAATTTATATAGTACATTATAAGATATTAAGTGCTATGGGGAAAAAAAAGAGTAGAGAAAAAGTGATGGAGTTTGAGTAGTCTGCAGCTTTCACCAGGGTGGTGGAGGGAGTCTTCATGGATGGTAACTTCCACATGAGAGAATGTGGGGTGAGCAGTGTGTTATCTGGGGAAAGAGCATTTGGCAGGTGCAAAGGCCAAGGATTCACTGAGTTCTGTGGCCTTGAGTTGGAGATAGATTGGGGTCAGGAGTATAAAGCTACACTGGACATAAGGGCTTGGCCATCGCTGCCTTTATAAGGACCTCTGTTTTTACTTTGGGTGAGATGGGAAGCCATTAGAAGATGTGACATGATCTGACAGAAAAGGATCTCTCTGTTGATGAGTTGTAGGGGTGTTACTGAATCAAATTAAGGTCTGCTTGCCCAGTGCAGCAAAGCCAGGCACTGATGCCAAGAGTTGCAGTGGGAGAAAGGGGCATTTTTATTGCATGGCATCATGACAACGAGAACAGGCAGCTAATGGTTAAGACCCAAATTCCCTTATGGCTTATAAGCAAGTGTTTTTAAGGCAGAGGTACATTTCAGGAAAGCAGAAGTTGCACACAAAATCATAGATTAGTACATGGAGGTTATGTATTGGTCTGGTGAAATAAGGCAGAGGGTATCTTGAAGCAGGGGTTGCTGGTCGTAGGTGGATTCAGAGATTCTTTGATTAGCCAAAAGGGATGTTGAGGTGTGTGTGACTCTCTCCAGGCCCATAAGGGAGAAACATGGAACAGAGAACAGGATCAGAGTGCAGTTCCTCAGTTCCTCTTTGTATCTGCATTTTCAATCTGGAGGAGGTTCTGGAAAAGCAACTCAAGAACACATGTTAAGACATTACCTTTTAGTTTCCATGGGGAACTAAAATATCTTGAGACTGTGGCTTCGAGAACTATTGTTCCTATCTTCTTGCTCATCAGGTTGCCCATTTCGTAAGGCTAGCGAGGTGCCAAGAATTTCCCTTAACAGGACTGAAGATTTTCCATTATTTTCATGCTTAGGGGCCAGGCAAGCCCCTAAGAAGGATCCCCTCTCTGTTTCAGGGAAACAAGGAAGAATATGGGACTAGGAAAGAGGAGCAGTGGGTTTGGCAGTAATCTGGATAAAAGGGAGATGACAGTGGCTTTTGGGGCCAGGGTACAGGGAGGTTTTTGAGGGTAGAGCCAGCAGATTCCATAGTCTGAGAAAGAGGAGTCGAGGATGAGTGCAGGCTGTACTTGTGTCTGTTGAAGTTCACCGCAGGCTATTAATTTAATACTGTGATTTAGAATTTTCATTTGTTGGGCATTTTACAACATAATTTGTTATATTCTTTTTTTTTTTTTTTTTTTTTTTTTTTGAGACAGAGTCTCACTTTGTTGCCAGGCTAGAGTGAGTGCCGTGGCATCAGCCTAGCTCACAGCAACCTCAATCTCCTGGGCTCAAGCAATCCTACTGCCTCAGCCTCCCGAGTAGCTGGGACTACAGGCATGCGCCACCATGCCCAGCTAATTTTTTCTCTGTATATATTAGTTGGCCAGTTAGTTTCTATTTATAGTAGAGACGGGGTCTCGCTCTTGCTCAGGCTGGTTTTGAACTTCTGACCTCGAGCAATCTGCCTGCCTCAGCCTCCCCGAGTGTTAGGATTACAGGCGTGAGCCACCGCACCCGGCTGGTATATTCTTAAAACTATATTATATTTGGATTGTTTCCTTTCTTTTTAGATTCAGAGTGATAATATCCTTGCCTGTTTTCATCTTTGGAGATTTTTGCATTTGTTTTCAGGGCTAAGGACTTTAAATGAAGTTCTAGTTAAAAAATAACATTCTTTGAAGCTTAAATTATTTAAAGTTCAATAAGTAGATTATTTTGGTAATTTTACTTTAGTTCTTCACATTAAAATTTTCCCGTTTAATGAATATTTAACTAATTAGTAAAATTTACTAATCTAATTGTCAGTCTCTGTTAAATGGCTCGTCAAAATGTTTATTTAGCACTTAATTTCGGTTGTCTTAACATTGTGAATCCCTGTAACCTTGTGGTCCCCAACCTCTGGGCCTTGGACCAGTACTGGTTGCTGTCCTGTGAGGAACCAGGCTGCAGAGCAGGTGAGCAGCGAGCTATTGAAGCTTCATCTGTACTTACAGCCCCTCCCAATTCCTGGCATTATTGCCTGAGCTCCACCTTCTGTCAGATTACCAGCAGCATTAGATTCTCACAGGAGCGTGAACCTTACTGTAAACTGTACATGTGAGGGATCTATGTTTTGTGTTCCTTGTGAGAATCTCATGCTTGATGATCTGAGGTGGAGCTGAGGTGGTGATGCTAGTGCTGGGGGAGCAGCTGCAAATGCCAATTATTGTTAGCAGAGAGGTTTGACTGCATACAGACCATAATAAATCAATTGCTTGCAGACTCATATCAAAACCCTATCAGAGAGTGACAAGCTACATCTGGTGACAGTCTTTATAGTGGCAGATGAGCATCTTATTTCAGTTGTACAGCTGCATCTGTTGGCAGGCTTTAAGTCAGAATTCGACATTTATTTTAGTCTGTACGTGGCCTGCCCATTGTTTTCTTTACCACGTCCATCCATTCCTGTTTCCTTCGCTGCACACTTGTCACAGTCACAGTTCTGGTAAGCCCACAAAAGCTAACCCTAGCAAAAATGAGTAAAAGGCAAACGTTACTGGAGAGCTTCGTTGAAAAAGGGGAAGGACCCAATAATGAGACATCAGAAGACTCTAAGATTGTTAACAAAACGAAGGCTGCATTTAAAAGAAAAGACCAAGAGTCCTTAAATTTTGGGTTCATTGTAACAGGTGATTGACAGTCTCCAAGCCCATTTTGTGTAATATGTCATGAGCAGTCATCCAATGAAGCCATGAAACCTTCCAAAAAACTGCCTCCCCACATGGAGACCAAGCACCTTGCATTAAAAGACTACCTTTGGAGTTTTTCAAGAGAAGAAAAACGTTAACATGAAGAATAGAAGCAATTATTGGAAGGCCACTACTTCATCAAATGTGTCTGCACTGAGAGTATCATTCTTAGTGGCTAACCACATTGCTAAAGCTCAGAAACCTTTTACTATTGGTGAAGAGTTGATCCTGCCTACTGCTAAGGACATTTGCTGTGAACTTTTAGGAGAGGCTGCAGTTCAAAAGGTGGCTCACGTTCCTCTTTTGGCTAGTGCCATAACAATTAATTGATGAATTGATGAAATAGAGGATATTGAGGCAAAATTGTTAGGATTAGTGAGTGACCTTGGTATGCAATCCAAGTTAATGAATCTACTGATGTTGACAAGGCAACAATGCTTGCTTTTGTGCAGTGTATTTTTCAGGATGATGTGCATGGGGATATGTTATGTGCACTTTTGTTGTCAACACCACAGCTGCAGAACTGCTCAAGT